CTATAATGTCAAAATTAATATGACACATTTAATCAAACAAATGAGCAAGAAAAAGAAGGTATGCTCGTTTAGACTCAAATCTCATAAGAAAGTGTATTGTGTATCGAGTCAAGAAACACATCAACCAATGAACTCATGGAATATCAAGCAAGATTTTAAAGAAGAATATCAATCATGTCATTTTACTATCATGCACCATAAATCCAATAAAAGTGTGATCACAAACTCATGTAATCAATGAAACAAATCAAGATTCAAGATTAATAACAAGAGATTTCAATGAATCAGCCAAGGCAACTTAATTTCAAGCATATAAACAAGCGAGCGATAATTCGATGCAAGCGTTCTCTACTCCCTTACTTAAAATCATGTTGTCCCAATATGTAAAATAAAAGTATAGGAGAAGGAATAGAGATACCCTTTGTGTTTAGTGACGACCATGGCCGCTGCCTCAGCGAGAGATGTTTGAATGAAGGTAGGATAAAATCTCGGTAAGATTGGACACGATGGAGTTAAGAAGACCGTGCACTTCATGAATTTGATGTTACGTATCTGGTCGAGGATCCTCCGTTGACGCCTGTGGTGGTGCACGTCTCAGAAGAAAGACACGCTCGTTCTAAGGTGTCATGGTGTTAGAAGGGACAATAAAAGGTGTGGCGGGAGTGTTGGCGAGTAATCCCATCGTGTCTAAGCATCGTACATCTCGTTGGATTGTTCCAACATTACCAAATGCATAGAGTATGAGGGAATGAAACCCGACATCGAGTATGAGGACGCAACAGCGACTGACATCATAGAGTAAAAAGATGGGGAGGATGATGGTATAGAGCGATTCGGTCGTGATGATAATGCAACAAGCGACGAGTTAGGGGTGACATGAATTGGTTTCAGTTCTTGCGGTGGCGGGCTAACGTTGACCACGGCGGGCGAGAGGTCGTGGAGGCGTGGGAATGGAATAAGAATCACTTGGAACTTGTACAAATACTGAAGAAGCTTATCAGTGAAGTCCTCTGAGATTCACTGGTGGTAGGAAAATCCCGGCGTTTGCTAGGTTTCTTATTCTTAACATCTTGAAAGAGAACAGTAGATGACGAGGAGAATAGATAACGAGCGACGGCAGGAGCGAGCACGCGGTGACGTGATGAGTCAGTGATGTGTGATGGTGCACGGTGGTGCGGTAGGGATGTTGGTTATGGGGTTCGATTATAAGGTAAAGAAAGTGAAAGGGGAATGTGAGTGCGGCTTGGTAGAAAAATAAAGAAAAAAATGAATTCTTAGGTGTTAAATTCGATTACGTGGGGGTTTAAAGGAAAAGAGATTGAGTTGGAATGGGAGAGGTTTTGTTGGCTGGTCAAAGAAGGAATTTGAAGATAAAAAAAATTGAAAAGAGAACGGGTGGAATGAGGTAGGGTTCACGTGAGGAAAAGGTAGGGGTGATTGGGGGTGGGCGGCGACTGATGTAAGGGTGTTTGGAAGCATGTTTGAAATAGGGGGAAGAGTAAAGAGGGTGGGAGAAAAAAAGTTAAAATTTGGGATTGGGGAATGCTAACTTACACCGGACTCCAATGAGAAAAGCTTACGCACATCGTTTAATGAAACGGTAAGCATGGGGGAAGGGAGATAAATCCCAGCTGTGCTCACAACCTACGCTGTTTTCGAACAAAAATTTGTTTACTGTTCGAGCGAAAATATTCGATCCAACTCCATTTAAGCTCGATTAAAAATAATTGGGTACCTAAAAATTCAGATAAAATAAAATAAGTATGAAACTAAGACAAATAAAATTAAAATTAAAAACGAATTGAAATTAAATAAATAGAACTAAAATAAAATAAAATGGATTGCCTCCCATTAAACATTTTATTTAACGTCGTTTAGGTCAACAACCTGATTCAGACTACACGTTCTTCTAAAGTAATTTATTCAATCACACACACTAGATTATTCTCATAATAAGACTTCAATCGTTGACCATTTACTTTGAAGCAAACTCCCGAATCATCTTGAAATTCAACTGCACCATAAGGAAATACTTGAATCACGGTAAAAAGTAGATTTTCAATTTAGAATTAAATAGCAGAACATTTTGTCCAACATTAAAAGATTTAAATGAAATATGAAGATCATGAAAATCTTTAGTTTTGTCGTGATATATTTGAACACTATCATAAGCGTTGCGACGAATTTCTTCAAGTTCTTGAATGTGCAATTTCTTTGATTTTCCGATTGCAACCATCTCCATATTACATTCTTTAACCGCCTAATATTCTTTATGTTCTAATTCAACTAGTAAGTGACATGGTTTATCAAAAACTAGGAGATATGGGGACACGTCGATGAGACTTTTATAAGCGGTACGATATGCCCATAAAACATTATTGAGTTTCAAACCCCAATCTTTTCTTTTCGATTTCACAATCTTGTCAAGAATTGACTTGATTTCTCAGCTTGAAATTTCTGCTTGTCAATTAGTTTTAGAATGATAAGTCGTGGTGATTCATTGAGTGACTTCATATTTCTTCATAAGCGTCTCGATGATTCGATTAACAAAATACGTTCCTTTATCGCTAATGATCGCCCTCAGAGCGTTAAACATGGAAAAATATTTTTTTTTAGAAATTCAACAGTAGTTCTAGCATCATCATTAAGGGTAGCTTTAGCTTCTACCCATTTTGAAACATAATCAACGACTAGAATTATATAACAATTACCAAAGGATGAAACAAAAAGACCCATGTAATCAATACCCCATACATCGAATATTTCACAAACTTGAATCAGATTAAGAGACATCTCATTATGATGACTTAAATTACCGGCGCGCTAACATTTTTTACAAGACTTACAAAACACATATGTATCACAAAAAAATATTAGGCTAGTAAAATCTACATTCAAAAATTTTATGTGGTTCTTTTTGGTTCAAAGTGCCCTCCACAAAAATAAGAATGACAAAAATTAAGGATATAATTTACCTCGTACTTTCGGCAACACAACGACGAATTACCTGATTCAAACAATATTTTCAAAGATATGAATCATCTCAAATATAAAATCAAGATTCTCGTTTGATACAGCTTACCTCAAAACAGTTTAAATCGATTTAAATAGGTGATCCTCCTTCGAAGGTGCTGGAGGAGGATCAGTCATAGCTATGACTTTCCCAGGGAGAGGGAGTGTGTGATCAAGTAACAATTAAATTTTTACTTCATCACTTTAGTTGCAACAATATTATAACATGGATTGATTATATATTAACTATATACTATCAAAGTTTCATGTAATTTGATTTTAATTTTTTAAAATTCAACGCAATTGTATTAATTGAAAATAACATCTTGAAGTATATTAATAGAAACAAAATTAGAAAAACCATAATCAAACGTAACAACAGTGTTCATGGTCAACATCATTGAGCAAGAGCATGAATGATGATATTGCATAGTCGATATATATATTATATCATCAGATGTGAGTTTGAACGTATTTAAATGTTTGTATCTTTTATTTTTCAAGTTGAGGGATCTCATTAATATTAGGCTTATAACAAAATTTTATTTAGTATTGTCGCCCTCTCTTCACGGTTTAGATTAAACAAAATAAAACCGCGTGCATTCAATAATTGGCCCTACTCTATTCAATTATATTTATTTAATAAATTAAGCTTAGCTTATATTTCATTTACATCGTGGACAGATTACAATAAGTTCAAATGGTCAATAGTAGGCTTTACCATACCAACAACCCGTTCGTCTAATGTGATAAATTATTAGATTTATTAAATAAGGTAAGAAGTTTAAAAGAAATAGTAGGCTCTACCATATTAATTTATTACAGAATCATTGGTCAATACGATGAATTTTTCTAAGCAAGAAAATTCCAAGGGTTGAATGATTCAACGCTAGCTTGACGCTCGAATTACAAAAAAGAAAAAAAAAAGTAAATTTAAATATCTTAATATTTGTCAATAATATATTTTTAAATTGATATAGGATAATTATAAAATAGTATATATTAAAATTCACAATCATTTGATATTAAGACTTAAATATTTATTGATAATATTAATAACAGAAGTCTTGGGTAATAATATTATAATTAAAAATAATTATATAATTTTATCATATTTATAGAAATTTAAACACGGTATATTAAGACTTGAATATAAATTTTCTTCTTTAATGTTTAAAAAAAGAAAGACTTGAATAAGAATATTTGAATAAAATAACTCACGAATTTAAGAAGTTAAGCATAATTTATCTAGAATTCGAGCTAACCTCTAGTTCACGTCTAAAATTTGTTTAATTTTAGGTAAAGTATACTGATGGTCCTGATTATAGGACATTATTTTGTTAAGTCACCGATTACTAAAAGTTATAAAATTGTCCTCTTATTATAGGACATTATTTTGTTGAGTCTCTCAACTATTGCAAGTTACAAAATAGTTATCTAACTATTTATTATGTTCCAAATTCATTCATTTTCGTTAAAATATTGATGACAATTTGAGTGTGTTGTTAATTTATTGTTTGAGATATGATAGTCGTTTGAGATTTTATAACCATATTTTATCATATCTAAGACAAAGAATTAACATTCACCTCAGAATGTCGTCAAATTTTTTAACGAAAAAGGATGAACTTAGAACATAATAAAAAGTTAGTTGACTATTTTGTAACTTTTAATAGTTGAGGGATTTAGTAAAGCAACATCTTGTTATTCGAAATTATTTTATAACTTCTAATAGTAAATAGACTCAACAAATCAATAATATAATTTATAGACCATTTATATATTTTATCTTTAATTTTAATTGCTCAATTGAACTTATTAATGATTTTAATAATAATAAAATATTATTTTTCATAATATTTATTTATTTCCCGTTTACAATATTTCCAAAATTTAAGCAAGAAACTAGCCTCAATTCTTAATCACTACTAAGCTACAACTTTCTTTTTAAAGCAACTTATCTCATCTAACTTCCTACAAGTTTATCTATGGCTTCAATTTTCCTTCCTTTCTTTTCAGCTTATCTAATGCTTCTCCTACCTCTTGTTGTCGCTCAAAGTAGCGCCGGAGACATTCGGGTCGGCAGGTCCATCGAAGCCACTCGGGATGCAAAACCATGGATTTCTCCCTCCAGTGATTTCGCCTTGGGATTTCACCAGATGGAAAACGATAAAGATCTCTTCCTACTGGCCATTTGGTATTATAAAATCCCAGCCCGTACCATAGTTTGGTACGCAAGTGGAACAAAACCAGCTCCAAGAAGATCGAAGGCGGAGTTAACAGCTGATCGAGGGCTGGTCCTCTCCGATCCCAGAGGCCAACTGATTTGGCGATCCGAGTTCGCCACCGGCGATGTCGCCTTTGCAAGAATGAACGATACAGGCAATTTCGTGGTTTACGGAGGTGGTTCCGAGCGACTGTGGGAGAGCTTCGAGAATCCCACTGATACGCTGTTACCGACTCAGGTGATCCAAAGGGGTGATAAGCTTTCTTCTCGGCATAAAGAGAGCAACTTCTCGAAGGGAAAATTCCAGTTCCAGCTGTCTGAAGATGGAAATGTTTTGCTCAATACAAATAATATTGTGTCGGAGTTTTTCTACTTTGCGTACTACAATAGTGGAACTGGTGATCAAGCAAATAAGACGAATTCGGGTTATCAAGTGAGGCTTGATGAAGATGGTTCCTTTTACGTACTGAGAGGAAACAACCAGAGACAATCATTCATCTCAGGAGATGGTGTTCACTATGAAGATTATTATCATAAAGTAACACTAAATTTTGATGGAGTTTTGACTCTTTCTAGTTATCCAAAGAATCCCATCAGCAGCAATGGAAACTGGGATGTTAGAACCACCATTCCGGATAATATCTGCATTACAGGATTTAATCAGTTCGGTAGTGGAACATGTGGCTACAACAGTATCTGCACTCTTAAACCCAACAAAAGGCCACAGTGTAAATGCCCACGGGGCTATTCATTATCCGATCCGAACGATGAGCATGGTGATTGCCGAGCAGATTTCATGCAGGGCTGTGAAGCAGATCCCCAGAGTTATCATCAAGGTTTATACGATTTGGACGAACTACAAAACACGGATTGGCCTACTTACGATCAGGAGGTGATTAGCCCTTGCAGTGCTGATGCCTGCAAGGCTTATTGTTTGCAGGATTGTCTTTGTTCAGTAGCAATATTCAACAATGGCAAAGACTGTGTGAAGAAGACGCTGCCGCTTCCTTATGGGAGACAGGACAGACAAGTGAATCCCATAGCCTTTGTCAAAGTACGAAAAGCCGAGTTCGCTCACAGAAATCCTCCGGATATATCGACGGTATGCGAGAAACGGGACCGGAATTCATTGACAGTTCTGATTTCAGTGCTCTTAGGTAGCTCTATGTTTGTCAACTTTATATTAGTTGGGGTGTTATGCATGGCATCATCTTTCTTGTACCACAAAAGGGTTACAAGAAATCACAGCAACAAAAATGGCATACAAAGCAGCTTATGTTTCTTCAATTACAAGGAGCTTGAAGATGCCACTAATGGTTTCGACACGGAGCTCGGAAGGGGATCGTTCGGCATCGTATATAAAGGGGTAATAAAATCAGATTCTCGAGATCCGTTCGAAGTTGCGGTGAAGAAGTTAGACAGGGTGGTTCAGGACACAGACAAGGAATTCAGAACTGAAGTGAGTGTGATTGCTCAAACACACCATCGGAATCTAGTCAAGCTGCTCGGATATTGCGACGAGGGCCGATATCGAATGCTGGTATACGAGTACATGAGCAATGGGACATTAGCAAGCTTTCTCTTTGGTGATCCAAAACCAAGCTGGAACCAGAGGACACAAATTGCAGTGGGGATCGCTAGAGGACTCTGTTACTTGCACGAGGAGTGCAGCCCACAAATAATCCATTGTGACATAAAGCCTCAAAACATACTTCTCAATGACTACCACGAGGCTCGGATCTCCGATTTCGGGCTGTCGAAGCTTTTAGGCGTTGACCAGTCCTTCACCAACACTGCCATTAGGGGCACGAAAGGGTATGTTGCACCTGAATGGTTCAAGACCGTGCCCGTGACCGTGAAGGTTGACGTGTACAGCTTCGGTGTCTTGCTGCTTGAAATCATTTGTTGTAGAAGAAATGTAGAAATGGATGTTAGTGATGAAGAGAGAGTGATTTTGACAGATTGGACTTGTGATTGCTTCTCGGAAGGGACAGTCGATGCTCTCGTTGAGAACGATGCGGAGGCCTTAACGGAGAAGATGAAGCTGGAGAGGTTTGTAATGGTTGCTCTTTGGTGCATCCAAGAAGACGTCTCTTTAAGACCCACCATGAAGAAAGTTTTGCTGATGCTTGAGGAAATGATTATGGTTGCTCCTCCTCCTTTGCCATGTCCATCATATATGTTGGCATAGTACACTATAATTATTTGCTTAATTGTGTCGTATAATAAGATAGTAAGCGTCCATCACACACACATATATATGGATTTGAATTTTGTTAATTATTATGGTATTTTGGTTATCACTAAAAGTGTCAAATTAATTAATGATAAATCAATAGAAAGTGTTAAAATGCATAAAATAATAGTTCAAGTATTATATTTGATATCTTCTTACGATACATGTCTGTCCTTAAACTTATTCTCCGTGAACTCTAACTTGTAAAGATGACACACAACCAGTTCTTAATCTCCTTGGCCTCCTTCCAGAAGTCTTCAAATCTAGTGATCCTCTTCTTTAACGACGATGAAATATCTCGCCTCTTGTTAAAATCCAAATATCATATTATAATTTTATTAAAGTACAAATATCACATTATACATTTTAGAAATACATATATCATATGAGATTTTTTAGTATCAACCAACTTACTTCAATGATTAAAGGAATTATTGTTATTCTTAGAGGTCATGGGTTCAAACAACAACAACTACAATGGTGATTGGACGTTCATGTCAAATGATTGAGAGTATTTACAACAGATATTACTTTATAATTTAGTTCGTCCTAAAAGAAAGGTCATGCACGCAAATGAATCAAAACAACATTAAATCAACAATATTGAATGAACAATAAGGAATAATTATAAACAAATTATATGCAAACTAAATAACTAATCAAATCAAAATTACTATTTGAGTCTAGCCTGTTTAATATATGTGTTAATATATTATATAAAACGACCTAAAATTAAACACGTTTAAACGATTAATATCGTTTATTTATGAACGAAGAGGTTTGATTAATATAGGGTTTACCCCAAAATTGTGTTTAGTATTGCCGATTCATCTTTTGTACAAAACATTTATACCCAATATGTGTTCCAAGATCATTCTCATTAAACATTTCTCGTATTCTCTTACGTTATTGGAACACTTAAAGTCGGGTATGTCGGTGAAGGGGTAATAATCACTTTCTAGTGTCTAAGGATACCAAAATTGCCTTAATTCAGTGTCTAAAAGCATTTGATATTCGGTCAAAATATTTATTTTCTACGATTTTTCATTCGATGATTATTCTTCAATAGCAGTTAACACGTTTAATCCTCTCTAGAGAAGTCAAAGTACAAAGACTCGTAGCTTATAGTAGCTCGACTCGTCAATAAATGTACTCTTGCCCTGTTTAGCTAAAGAAAAAACACCAAAATCCATCGTTTTCTTTGTTTTGACTAAACATAATAAAACCGCGTGCATTGGCACTACTCGATTCAATTAAGCTCTTTATTGACTGAAAGGTTCATATTTAATCGTCTCCGACGACTTTCATCTACATAATTTCCTAATCGTACGTTAAGGGTTGTATAAATTTTAGCCAATGATTAGCCATAGATTCATAAATACTTTTGAGGATGGATACATTTATATTAATTATTAAAAAAAATTTTCTAAATTATTTGTTTTAATCAGATTAAAATTATTTTAAAATTTTGTTTACTAAAATAAATGAACTGAACTTACTCTCTATATATTATATTTTAGTAAGTTCTAAATATAATCTTAATCCTATTTAGATGAGAGAGAAATGAGAAATTTTTCTTTTGATTAAGTTGAAGGTAACTATAAAGTAATATATGTTATAAGTAATTTCAATCATTTGAAAAATGAATGTTCAATTCATTTAAAAAGAAAAATACGCGACTCAATAAATCTAAAATTTATGACTTAAATAATAAAATATAAGAAGCAAAAGATAAACAATTTCACTCATTTTTTTTATAAATTATATTTTTTTAATAAATATGGCTTTGATTATATTTCATTAACATCGTGGTCGGGCTACAATTTAAAACCTGTCTATAATAGACTCTACCATGTTAATTTATGACAGAATCATGATCAATAAGATCATATCTTCTAAGCTTGATTGGCTCTTTTTACGTGCTTAACCCTAAAGAAAATTTATAGTATCGAATGATTCAACGCTCGATTTTTTTTATTAAATCTTAATATTTTAACAACATATCTTTTTGTGTAAATAAAAGTCATTAATCTTATTAAAAGAAGAGAAAATATTAAAAATTACAATAAAATGTTTATGATCATAAGTGTATATTAAATAAATATTTTCTTATAACAATTAAAGAATAAATTAGTCATTTGAGATCATATCAGAATAAAAAAATACTAAAAATTCGTGTTAAAAATTCGAGTAAAAGACGATACGAACATATCTGATTGTATCGACAAACAAATTATAACAGTAAATAAAGTTATCGAAAAACCATCAACAATTGTAAATCAAATTCGAGCGTTATGAGATAACTATCTCTGAATACAAATTACATATCAAATTCAATCCAATTCAATTCGACGACGTAAAGTAGAAAATATCATACGACTAATAAGTAAGATCTTTTTCCAACTCGTGATGATCTTTTTCAACTCTTGATGCAAAACCATGGGTTTCTCCCTCCAGTGGTTTCGCCTTTGGATTCCACCAACTGGAAAACGATAATGATCTTTTCCAACTCGCCACTTGGTATCACAAAATCCCAACCCGCACCATAGTTTGGTACGCAAGGGGAAGTAAACCAGCTCCAAGAAGATCCAAGCTCGAGTTAACAGCTGATCGAGGACTCGTACTCACCGTTCCCAATGGCCAACTCATATGGACATCCGAGTTTACCACCGGTGATGTCGTTATTGCAAGAATGAACGACACTGAAAATTTCGTGGTTTACGGCGGTGGTTCCGAGCGACTGTGGGAGAGCTTCGAGAATCCCACCGATACTCTGTTACCGACTCAGGTGATCCAAAGGGGTGGTAAGCTTTCTTCTTGGCATAAAGAGAGCAACTTCTCGAAGGGAAAATCCCAGTTCCAGCTGCGCGAAGATGGAAATGCTTCGCTCAATACAATTAATATTGAATCCGAGTTTTTCTACATTGCGTACTACACTAGTGGTATTGATGACCAAGCAAATAAGACGAATTCGGGTTATCAAGTGAGGCTTGATGAAGATGGATCGTTTTATGTACTGAGAGGAAACAGTCAGAGACAATCACTCAACGGAGAAGACGATGGTGTTGACTATGCAGATTATTATCATAGAGTAACACTAAATTTTGATGGAGTTTTGACTCTTTCTAGTTATCCAAAGAATCCCATCAGCACCGATGGAAACTGGATTAATCGAACCACCATTCCAGATAATATCTGCACAACAGGATTTGGTACGTATGGTAATGGAACATGTGGCTACAACAGTATATGCGCGCTTAAACCAGACAAAGGCCACAATGTAAATGCTCACCGGGCTATTCTTTATCTGATCCGAACTACGAGTATGGTAATTGCCGAGCAGATTTCATGCAGGGCTGTGAAGCAGATCCCCAGAGTTCTCATGAAGGTTTATACGATTTCGTCGAACTACAAAACACCGATTGGCCGACATTGGACCATGAGATGATTAGCCCTTGACGTTGGACCAAAGCTTATTGTTTGCAGGATTGTCTTTGTGCAGTGGCAATATTCCACAGTGGCACAAAAAGAGATTACCATAGCCTTTGTGAAAGTGAGAAAACCTGAATTTGCTCACAGAAACCCTCCAAATATATCGACGGTATATAAAAAACGGGACCAGAATTCATTGACAGTTCTGATTTCAGTGCTCTTAGGTAGCTCTGTGTTTGCCAATTTTGTATCAGTTGGGGTGTTATGCATGGCATCATCTTTCTTGTACCACAAAAGGGTTGCAAGAAATCACAGCAACAAAAATGGCATACAAAGCAGCTTAATGTGCTACAATTACAAGGAGCTTGAAGATGCCACTAATGGTTTCGAGACGGAGCTCGAAAGGGGATTTTTTGGCATCGTTATTAAAGGCGTAATCAAATCAGATTCTCAAGATCCGATCGAAGTCACGGTCAAGAAGTTAGACAGGGTGGTTCAAGACGCAGACAAGGAATTCAAAACTGAAGTGAGTGTCATAGCTCAAACACACCATCGGAATCTCGTCAATCTGCTCGGATATTGCGACGAGGGTCGATATCGAATGTTGGTATACGAGTACATGAGCAATGGGACATTAGCAAGCTTCCTCTTTGGTGATCTTAAACCAAGATGGAACCAAAGGACACAAATTGCAGTGGGGATCGCTAGGGGACTCTGTTACTCGCACGAGGAGTGCAGCCCACAAATAATCCATTGTGTCTTAAAGCCTCAAAACATACTCCTCAACGACTACCACGAGGCTTGGATCTCCGATTTCAGGCATTCGAATCTTTTAGGCATCGACCAATCATTTACCAACACCGTCATTAGGGGCACAAAGGGGTATATAGCACCCGAATGGTTCAAGATCGTGCCCTTGACCATGAAGGTCGACGTGGACAGCTTCAGTGTCTTGCTGCTGGAAATCATTTGTTGTAGAAGAAATGTAGCAATGGATGTTGGTGATGAAGAGAGTGATTTTGACAGACTGGGCTTGTGATAGCTTCTCAGAAGGGACCATCGATGCTATCGTCAAGAACGATGTGGAGGCCTTAATGGAGAAGATGAAGCTGGAGAGGTTTGTAATGGTTGCTCTTTGGTGCATCCAAGAAGACATCTCTTTAAGACCCACTATGAAGAAAGTTTTGCTGATGCTTGAGGAAATGGTTATGGTTGCTCCTCCATTGCCATCTCCATCATATATGTTGGCATAGTGCACTATAATTATATGCTTAATTGTGGTGTATAAAATTAGTAAGTGTTCATCACACACACACATATACACATGAATTTGAATTTTGTTAATTATTATGGTATTTAGGTTATCACTATTAGTAAGTGTCAAATTATTTAATGAAAAATCAAAAGTTTTATAATACACAAAATAATAGGTCAAATATTACATTTATATCTTCTTAATATACATGTTCGTCCTTGAACTTGTTCTCCGTAGACTCTTAACTTATAAAGATGTGATTCCACAACTTCTTAATCTCCTTGACTTCCTCCATGAAGTCTTCAAATTTAGCGATCCTCTTCTCTAACGACAATGAGATGTCCCTCCTCTTGTAAAAGTACAAATATCATATTAGAATTTAATTAAAGTACAAGTACCACATCATACGTTTTAGAAGTACGTATATCATATAAGATATTTTGTCAAAGTATAGGTACCAAATGTGCCATTATTCTTTATTTAAATTATTTATTTTAAGAGGTTGATATATACACCACAATAAATTTTTTTGTATTGATTTATTTCTTGTAAATCTCGTTTTTAATTATTTATTTTGTAAATTCCTAACATAATATTCATCAGCTCCAAATTCATCGATATGTTGACTCAAATTCGAGATTATATTAGCTGTTATGTCATTAATTATTTAGCAAATACAAACTAAATAGTCATGAATCTTTTCTTGCAATGCTTCTAATTTTAGCAAAAACTTATGTAATCCACCTTTTCTTTGTCTAAAATTTATCTGTCCATGTTCAATTCAAGAGATAAACTTATCTGTCCTTAGCACTGATTATAGATTAGTCAAACCAACATTCTTTGTTATACCAACCACTTTCTCTTCTCGTGTATCCCATTAAAACATATACAAATGTTCCCAAGCTTCTTACAATTGATTCAACAAACATTTTCATATCTCAAGACCATAAAAAAATGGACAAGGATCTTAGCTACATGCAAGAATTGGGAGAAATGGCGCCATCCCTCATGAAAACTCCCTACAAACCTACGATTTCTCCTCGATTGGAGCCCATACCTGAAGAGGAATGTGACGATGCGGAGGTGTTGAAGAAGAGGGTCTTTGTTCTTCTTCCCGTTTTGATTTCTTTTTCTATCTGTGCGTTTCTGCATAGGTAGAGAACAAATATGAACACGAATTTTAAAATGCGATAAGTCAATATGACTCATTTATATAATTAATTTTAAGTTTATATTTATATTAGTCAGCGTAGATTTTTAATTTTTTATTATTATATTTCATGTATGTGTATGATTTATTAAATTTATGTGTTATTAATTATCGATGTTTATAAATATTTGCTTTAATTTTTGTGAGATTGTAATTCATTTAAATACTTTTTTTTAAATATAGGCATTATTTTAAATTGAATAACATATAAATTTTTTTTAGAGCAACTTAATAAATTTATTGCCAAGCATAAAATAAGTACATGTACGAAAACACACAGAACTAGAAGTAGAAGCTAGGGAACTAAATAATATCATCTGCTTCTAACAACGAAACTGCAAATTGTGGCTGGTTATCTAAGATTCATATATATAATTTTTATAGTTATAATCATCTTGCATATATTATATTTTTTAAGATTCATATATATACATAATTTTTTAATTATATTTTATATTTTATAATATTAAATGCTAAATATGAATAAAATGATAACAGATATCTTACTCAAAACATAGTAATAAAATATATACATGGTTAGAATGAATTGAAAATATCAAGTTTCGTACAACACATTAACAAGGGTACACAAGTAGAGACGATGATGAATGGCGAAGAACAAACAATTTGAGAGAAAAGTATTAAAGTGATAATTTTTAAATATGAAGGGTTAAATTCATTAAATTATTTTAAATTATAATCAAGTTGATAGAATATATAAGTTTTGGGGATTAAATCTATTATTGTACTTGAGCGCTTAACTATTCAATCTAATATTAAATACCCAGTTATCTGTTTATAATAATATTTTGATTAAATAATTAAATTATATATATTTTTTAGAAAAAAAACATAACCAATTTGTGATTTAACTAATAATTAATTGACCTGGAATGTAATTTAGCCAAAGTCAAACTGCAGCCGTACAAACTAGATGTCGATATAAGTGGTCGACTGATGATGAGAAACATCTGTGATGAGGGGGAAAAAACAGACAAAGCACAAAGAAAATGATTTTCATGTCTTGTTCGAAAGGCTTGCTCTATTTCTTCTTCTTCTTCTTCTTCGTTGTGTTCTTTTCATGTAGCCGATCTATCAGTGCCCAGAATGCCACCACCGATCCTTCTGAAGGTATTCTCTCTCTCTCTCTCTCCTCTCTCTCTCTCTCTCTCTCCCTCCCTCCCTCCCTGTCTCTCCCCTTATATATATATATATATGTATATATTGATAGTTAATTACTTGATACATACGTACATTTTTATACACTGCATATTATATATATATATATATATATATATATATATATGATTATGGGATTAACTAAAGTAACACAATCTCTGATCTCTCCGACAAAAGTTGCAGATAAGTTATGGGTTTTATTTTGTATTTTATATTATAAGTTCCTAATCCAATCTGAAAATTCGTTCGCCTCCTAACTGTAATTAAACACTTGTTTAATATATGATAACTTTTGGTGAAAATACATCCATATGCCTTTGGATTTTATACATCAAATTAAAACTGCTACTGCTGCTGCTGCAAGAGAGAGAGAGAGAGAGAGTTGCAGTCATGTGTACCCTAACATAATAAAAGTTTTCTCCGAGCAAAAGTCTCCTTTTGAAATTTGACAAATAGAGACGTATGAAGAAGAGAAATTAGGTTGTTCTTCCATCACTGTTTTTGGGTTAAGTGTCAAAAGAATTATGTGCATCTACATTTTTCTTACTTTCAAAGTTAGTAGTTGTGTTAGATTTTGTGGTGATGTTAAATCATATATATATATATATATATATATATATATATGATCATATTATTTTTAAAATTATTTTAATATTTAAAGCATATACGAATAGATGTCTTTAAATTTTAATTATTCGAATCCATATTGCTTCTAAGGTGGTTTATGCTCAGAATTTTTCTTATTCTATCGATAATGCACACACATTATATGTACTTGTTTAAACAAGTCTTCTAGAAAAAATAGCATTCTCTTCTATCATTTAGGTCGCTTAATCTTTTACCACTTATTTCAATCAAAAGATTCATAAAAGATCTAATTTAAGTGTACAAGATCTATCCTTCTTGTATAAGAATTATGCTCAAATAAGAAAATTTTATAATATAGACTTTAAATTTTGTAATATAATCTCTATTTATCCCCAAAATACTTCATCTAATATAAAATAACCCTTTAAAAAACATATCACCATTTGAACCAAATATACTAATAAAATAACTTCAAAACACTGTAATCAAAATATACCATTAAAACAACTTCAAATCAGTATAATCAAAATATACTAAGATTAATGCTTGACCCAGTAAACATTATCTCAACCAGCGATAAAGAAATCACGACTTTTACATCAATATGAATTCTTAAATACCCTCAACAAAAGTTTCTTATTTAACACGATAATATCATAAAAAAATAAATTTTTTGACAATATTAAAAATAAATCTCTCGTTGGTCTCTTTATCAAGCGTTATTTAAGACTTGTTGATATAGTCAATATTTACTTATTCTTTATCGGTACTGTTTATTGTACAATTCTAGATATGTCATAGTCATCGATCAAATATAAATTATTCATAACATTGACATAAACCTTTATTAATATAATAATATCATCAAAGAATTATTCATTGACAACACTGAAAAAAATTATCTATCATCCATCTCTTTGTCAAACATTTTGTAAGGCTTGTTCACTTTTTATTTATTAATACTTTGTCAAATTTTAGATATGTCATTTTCGTTAATCAAGTATAATTAGCGTGTGTCTTGACTTTTTGGGGGGGAAATAGTTTGATTAAAATTCCATAAATGCACTCATATTTTACTAGAAATTACTTTATTGCTTTTAGCTCCAACAAATAAATGTGATAGATATTAGCTTATATACATTTTGGATAGCTTATACTTACACTATGTAAAACTTATTAATTAAAATTTATAGTCATTAGATTTAAATAAATAAATAACTTAGACTTAATTAAAATTTATAATCTATAAATAAATATTTTTAACTCACTGTAAAATAATATCTTTTTATCTCAAACCCTAAACCCTGAATATTAAATATTAAACCCTAATTCTTAAACCCTAACACTAAAAAGAAACAATATTTTACCATTTATTTATGAGTTATAAATATTAATTAAATCTAAATCATTTATGTATTTAAATCTAATGGCTACAAATTAGTGTAAAACTTATTAATTTTACCTAGCTTGTCCATATATATATATAACAAATTTTTTTTATCTCTAAACAGATTTAAAATCTATATATTTATCATTAAATCTTAATTCGACTATTATCATTTATTATTGTAATTTATAAAAAAACAAATTCAAATATATTTAAACATACAATATCATAATATTAATAGAATAATAGTCCTAAAAGTTATTATATCCTTTTGTCCATAATACTGTCCCTTACTAATTTGTTTTAGGAACAATTTTATTCAATAAGCAACCATCTTTGATCTTAACAAATTGAAGCACAATTATTTTACTCATTCAAGTGTTTTAAGTTAACTATTTTTAATCGATTCATGCATAGTAT